ATTCATGTATCTATACATTTTAATGGGTGTTTAAATCATATATTAACAATTAATTTTTATATACCAAATGTAGTATAAAAATGTTGCTCATTTATAGTATATCATTATCACAAAAAATTTGAATAATAGAATTTGAGTTTTGAGAATACAATTTTCTTCTCTTAAATTTCTATCATAAATTTTATTTTCTTTAGTTCGTTTGATACTCATCAAATCATCTCAACAAAGTGATATCAAATATTACTTTTATAACACTTATGAACATGTTCAACTCTGACCAGTTCATTTTAAATGTGCATAAAAATTGCCTTTAAATTTCCACTTTTTTTGGTGGCCATTCCTTTTCCAATGGTTACAAAATGACCCATGAAGCTAGGGGTGGCACCCGAACCGAGAGGCTCGTCGGTTCGTCAAAAACGAGCCGCCACGAGCGGCTCGTAGGCGAGCAAAATCAAAGGTTTATCTCTCTCTCTCTCTTTTTTTTTTTTTAAAAAAAAGGTTTATCTTATATATAATAAATAAATAGATAATTGACGAGCTCGCGAGCCGGAGCTCGGCTCGGCCCAACCCACGAGTTCACGGGCTGAGCCAAGCAGAAGCTCGACTCCTTTGTGACGAGCACGAGCCGAGCTCGTGTGTGTATGGACCGAGCAAGCTCGGCTCGGCCCATTGCCACCTCTACTTGAAGCAAATAGAAATAAACAAATCTCAACATAGGAATCTTATCAATAGTTATTTTGAGCCATTGGATGCTGACAAACCTGTGAGATTCAGTCTAAGCAAGCACAGCTGATAGCTTCGAATGACCTGCCTCGATTAAACTGAAGTTGGTGGGTTTCGATTCCCCTCTTCTCAGAAGGCGAGAAAGGCAAGGCATGTTTGGAAAATGGAATAATCTATAAATTGACGATTAATGAAGAAAATACACTTCGTTTAGCTGATCAATTAAGAGTTTTTTTTTTTCCCCTTTCCAAAATATACATACAAGAGCCAAACATCAGCATTTGATTTAATCTGCATGGATGAAGAATTCACCCGAAATATTGTTCATTACACTAAATTGCATGTTCTCTGAAGGTTTCCAATGCCTTTTCCTTTGGTTTATAAACCAGTTGTTAATTTGTTTCTGATCCAATCCTGTCGATTCAGCCAGCGCAATTTTATCATCTTCCTAGACAAGCAAACACACGAACCAAATCAAGTTTCGTAATACCGAAATGTACGTTATTGAACATGATTAAGAAAGAGTACGATTTTTCATCAAATATAAAATCAAAGTAATTCATTATCGCAATATATCTATTGTTTATACATTTTACGTGTAGGCCCTTATGACATGACCATGTCAATTTCAAGAATGCATTATGTGCACATTCATCACATGATTTTCAATATTTCAAAATTATACGGCTTTCTCATTGAATGTATTGACAAGATCATGTCAATTTCTATGTTGTGTTGCATCATGTTTATTACCTTATATTGGGACACAACTCAACAAGGTAACAAACAATTTTACATAATTCAACCCTTAATTGAGCCCAATCCATCACATGAAACATGTAATATAATGATAAAGAATCATATTCATTTCATCGTAGGAAGGAAATACTAACCGTTGGATAAGGCCATTGGCAGTGAGCATTCCACCATTCAAGCAATATTTTCTTTGCTCCTTTTGGCAGTTTTCCATTTTTCTTCTTCTTCGAAAATTCTTGCTTTAGTTTATTTATATGGCTACCATATCTTAATATGAGTTTGTCTTTAAGTTCACGGTCATCGTTCTTGATTTGTGCATCTTGTACTTCCGTCACTCCACTGAACTCCTCGTCTGATGACAAGATTCCGTCATCTGGACAAAGAATAAAAGGAGGATTTTCGACTTGAGATCTAAAAACATATATATGGTAACAGATAATTAAAGCAAATTTCTCAAAGTAATCAAGAAACTTCACATATCAAAACTAGAATGTATCGATATAATNGGATTGATATATATTAACAGCTTCTTCATGATATGAACATTTCAATCTAGTTTAATTTACAAGACCAAAAAGTAAACAAAAATCTATGGGTTTGAAACTTGACTCATTTTCATCCATTTATTTTCTGGGGTTTTGCTATATTTATTAATAAAATAATGGGTCATCAATTTCTTAGTCAAATAAAGATGGCTGGAGCAGAAGGTAGGGCTCAACAAATTGGAGGGACCCACATAAATGTCAGATATGGGTCTCCACATAACGTCTACCTACCTTATCTCATGGAATCCAAATCAAACTGTCCAAATTAGGTCAGGATCAACACGCACCGAAAAAGAAAATAACATGACATTAAGAGGATTTTTCTAAGGCCGTGTTTGATTTGTCATTTTTTTCATGGAACTTGGAAATGAAATTCCATTTTTCACCAAAAGTCATGTTTGATTGAAAAATTTTTCTTGACAATTCAATCTCCATTTTTCGCCTCACACGGTTCCAATTCCATGATTTTGAGGAAAATCAATTTCCACAAATTTGGTGGGATTTAGTTTTCCAAGCTACATTTTTTTTTTTTGAAACACATTCTAGCCTCAATTATAACAAATTATATCCTTTTAATGGACAATTTTCATGTAAAATAAAATCAAAAGAATACCAAAGATCCAAAATTTCAATATTTTCCACGTGGATAATTATACTAATCAAACACAATTAATTAACAATTCTCAGGAAAACAATTCTGGACAAAACTCAATTTCCTGAAATTCATTTTAAGATATGACTACTGAACGATCTGGGCAAAACTAATCTTCGAAGAAAACTCAGAATCACTACTGATCGATCAAGGCATAGCTCTACTAGTAAAAACAATGACTAAGAACTAGATCATTGACCGGACTTCAAGTCATCTACCAGGGTAGGGGTGAAATATAATCATTTCAATTTATTTTTTTGGAAAAAAAAAAAATTTACCTACACACGAACACATTGTATACATGTTTGAGCCACATTAAAAATTTCATTTTCATTCTTCTACTCATTTTCAACCAAACATTATTCAGTAACATAACATTTTCCTTCACATCAATAACTTTTCATTTTTTTTAACCACACATTCTCCGTCAATCTGCTATTCCAAAATGCATTCTTCTAAAATAATGTGGCTCAAACACACCCTATAGCAATGCACTTCACCTTAATCTCGCTCTAATTGGGGGAAGAAATCGAAAATACTTTAAAAAGCGTGTTTGATGCACATTAAAATGGAAAGAATGCATTTTATTTTGTGATGTGATGATGAATATGTGGTTTAAAAAAAAGAAAAAATTATTGATGTGATATAAAATATTATTTTATTGAACAATGTGTGATTGAAAATGAGTAGAAGAATAAAAATAAAAATGTGGCTCAAACATTGGCTAAAACTGTTGACTTGTGATGGACATGCTACATAGTATATCATATAACAACATCAATTAAATATGCATTAGGCTTACGAAATAATTGCTTATAGCTTAAATTAAGAGCCATACAAAATAATTTAGTTTAAATTAAATTTCACTTTTTTTGGACCTACTCAAAAATCCCACGCGAGATCCATAATAAACTGGAAAATTTGTGAATATGATATGACGAGCACTCCTAGTTTCTGACAGTACAGTGTGCGCTCGTGTGTGTAATTAAAAGGACTGACCGGCAGCGCAAACCCCGGGCGTCCATTTGTTTTTCTACACCAGCCTTATCCGGGCTTCCCCCAATAAAGCTAATCTTACCCTACCACCATTTATATCTATCGCTAATCTTGACCTAGTTGAACTTTGTGAGAATGATTTTCACATATGTATTGACGAAAGTGTAGATGACAGCAGATGATTGGATTTAAAAAGTTGACTATATTTTAAACAGTTCAAAGAAAAAATATCATATGATACCATGTCAACTTATCTGACAATGTAGCATGATTGTAGAAGGATTCTAAATTCTAATGACTCGTTATCTA